GCTCTACATTCCCCCGGAGGAGCTGGAGGAAGTGTCTGGAGAGAGGGAGGTCTGGGCATCTTTGCTTAGACTGCTGCCCCCGCGACCCGGCCCCAGATAAGCGGAAGAAAATGGATGGATGGATGGATGTCTATTAGGGCTTGTTTGGAGTAAAGAGCTGCATGTCTTTGGACTGTGCAGTACTAGAGTATATTCTCATAATGAATTTAGGTTACTGATTTGTCATATACAGTATATACAGTACATTACATAAATTGATTATGAATTCCAGGCATGAACGCATCCACACTAAAAAAGGAAGCCGCATGATGTCGCAGTCTGTCCCAGATGAGGTGGATGACCTCGCCACTCTGGAAGTTCTAGATGAGGTGAGGCGAAGTCAGCAGTCTGAACCAGTCAGGCATGTGATGTGAGAGCTATTTTCACAGCAGACACAATACAGCAAAAACTGTGTAAACAATTTGCAGTCAGTTGGCAGATATAGTGCATTTCTCAATACATTTTATGACAAGGACATGATTTAACTCTCTGTTGAAGAACCTTGGCTTTCTTAGATATTGTGTTATTAAAGAGTCACTCTCAGTCTTGGAAATAGCAGCTGTCAAAATAATCCCACTGCAGGGTCTATTATAGGTTTTCTTTCAATTGTACATGATTTTTCTCATCAGATTCAATGTTCAGATTAATTCCTACCTCAGAAAACCTCCAGTCACAATGTTCAGGTAAACAGCAGCTCAGAAAATGAAAACCTGAACTGAAAACTGGTCAAAGTTTGTCTACTGAGGAAGATGACGTGATGCAATCACAAGCTACTAAATGGACCTTAAAATTACAATTACTACATTGGAAAAAGATCCTTGTTATCCTGTACAAACTAGCTACTGGATTGGCCAAATGATATTTTACCAAGATCATTTATGATGTACAGTAAATTAGCCTTTTTTAGTCATGGGATCATTCCTTTAATTCAGTATTATATTATGATTTGTTTTTATCTCACTGCTAAATAGGACATACAGCATTTCTTTTCTCTGGTCGTATCTTGGACTGTTGAGCAGCCACAGTATAAGATTCACAAGTAACATTTAGAACAATTTGTCAAGTCTTAGTGCTGCATTAACAAAGTGAATGATGCAACCAGTGGATATTTCCAGACATCCTTCAGGATGGATCTGCTGGTATGAGGCAGGCGGTGCAGCCCTGCTGTTGTTGATGTACCTGTCTCTACAGTGTGAAGACAGGAGAGTGACTCACCATGCAGATAATACACTGGCAGACAAAGTACTGCTTGGTTGTAATACTGATTATTTGCAGTTATGCAGTGACTTGGCTAATAATTTGTATAGGACTAGAGTGGCTGGAAACGTGATGTATGTGGCAACTGAATCAAGCTTGTTGCTTTTTTTCAGAACACAGTCACAGAGCAGCTTCAAAGTCGCTATGGAAGAGATCAGATATACACATATGTGGGAGACATCCTCATCGCAGTCAATCCTTTCCATAAAATGGACATATACACTCCTGAGGTCTGTGAATATTGTATGTATGTTTGTGATTCTTTATGCATGTGAGCTTGTGCATTTGTTCAGTACAGCACTGATTGTAATCCAGCATATCTCATTAGCGCCTCTGCAGTTCCTGAGTCTGCTGCCCATTTAACCTGACTTCCACACACATGTTCACACATACTGCCCCTGTTTCTCTGCCACACATCACTGACTGTTTTCCTCACAATCATGTTTTTCTTTGCCTCCAGTTTGTAGCTATTTTTTATTCCTCTCTTCCCAGAAAACAAATGTATTTGGCAGAGTGAAACGTTGTCTTGAAGTGAAGTGCAAAGTAGAAAATCATTAGTAATTCATCAGTAATTACATAAATTTTCCTTTTCTTTTTTTTTTTTTTACACACTTAATGGTCTCTTTTGCATTCATGTGCATGTTTTCAATAAATTATTTTTTTTATAGTATACCAAGATGTACATAGGAGCTAAGCGCACCACTAACCCACCACACATCTTTGCTGTGGCTGATGTCGCCTACCAGTCCATGGTGTCTTACAACGCAGACCAGGTTATTTTGTGCTCACAGCATTACTCTCAAATATCCACTTATTGTTACTGTTGGAATAAGATGAATCCATTTTAGGTTTGGAGTTAACCAGCTGTCTGCACTGATGGAGCCAAATGTCCTTATAGTGTAATTTTGTCATCATTATTAAAGTTTTATAGTGATCTCGTGTGGTTTCCTGTGTGCAGTGTGTTGTGATCAGTGGGGAAAGTGGAGCAGGGAAAACGGAGAGCGCTCACCTGTTGGTGCAGCAGCTCACAGTTCTTGGGAAGGTGAGTCACAATGGTCCCCATCATTCCCTTTGTTTAATCTTGTTTTGGATTCTCTTTACTTTTCACAAAGTCCTCAGGAAGAACATGTAATGGCACTGAAAATTTAGAAAACATTTTAAAATCACGTACCAACCCAGAGCAAATTTAAACAAGATTAAGTGAAATATTGTTGCAAATAAAAGGGTAACCTGTGCAATGTCCTGCCCAGGGACTCGTGCACCTCCAGCCAGTTGTGGCCATTCAGAAATGTACTGTCAAGGCATTTTAAACATCCTGGGGTCTGTTTATTTGAGGCTTCAGCTGCTGTCAGTCATTATTTGCAACTTCAATGAATAGAAAGTTTCATTTGAATTCAGTTTTTTGTATTTGTTATAAGTGGAGGAATAAAATAAACAGCGACGGTCATCTTTGATGGGAATAACATGACTAGAAAGGCACATGACAGAAATTCATGCATCATTTCTTGAAAACTTTCACTATATTGATTTCCCACCAATTTATTTGGAGTAATGTTTGATTCAGGCCAATAATCGGACACTGCAGGAGAAGATTCTGCTGGTCAACAGTCTGGTGGAAGCATTTGGAAATGCCTGCACCGTGATCAATGACAACTCCAGTCGATTTGGCAAGTACCTGGAAATGAAGTTCACCAGCGGGGGCACAGTGGTCGGCGCACAGATATCAGAGTACCTGCTGGAGAAATCCAGAGTCGTACATCAGGCGGTGTAAATATCACTTCTTCTTACGCTGTTGTTTTCTGTCTAATGTAACTATCCTCAAGGTTTTTACTGATGCTGTAGCCTTCATTTCACAGTGACATCCATACATGTTTAAATCATGGCTCTTGATTTCTGAAAGAGCATTGCTAAGAAGGCTATTTGAGCCTGTTTGCCAGGGATCAGTGTGTAATGGGCTCTGTCTCTCTCCCTTTCACCTCTACTCTTCCTTCTAAAAGTTGTGACATTTGCCTTCAGCCTTCACTTCAGTCAGTCCATCTTTTCTTCTTATCATGTGTCTGGGGAGTGGACCGGGTCAAGTGGAGGGGACAGCTTATTTTCTGTTTGATCAAAGATTGTGGTCTTGCAAGGGTCCTTGATGGAACTTCAAAGGCAGACTCAAGTTTTTCATTAGAAAACAGACACCCACATAAGAGATTTGATTTGGCTGCGAGCACTGTGTACGACAACACTTTACTGTAGCTTGTTATTGGGTGATGGCAAACAAGGGGAGCCCATAGTTCGTTCATACTTCATTACCTTTGCTGGGGATGTTATGTTGTTGGATTTGTGTACAGTATATAAAAGACTTAACACTGGAGTTTGGTGAAAGGTTAGGTCAGTTGTTTATAATTGCAACTGTAATTCCAGCCAAGCCAAATGTTGATGTTTTTGTATAAACTCTTAAGTTTATACTTAAGCATTTTACAAGCTATAGGTAGTAATGTGAGCTAGCTAGCATAATTATTTAGCAGTATTATTTGTTGTATTATATTGTATTTTTCTCAGCCATTTACTACAGTCAAGAGTTTTGAGGAATCCTATGCAGCCTTTTTAGAGATACTGTATGTGTGCTGCTTAGCTTTTAGTATTTTTTTGCTTGCTTGCTTGTTTAAGACTGCAGGAGTGAGAATTATCAAATGAGTGACATGCTAACAAGATCACACGTCCTATGCTTTTAAAACCTGAATTTCTGAGCTATGTTCTTCTGTGTTTCTGAAGAGGGGAGAGGAATTTCCACATCTTCTACTACATCTATGCAGGCCTGGCAGACAGGAAGAAACTAGCCCACTACAAGCTCTCTGACAGCAAAACCCCTAAGTATGTTTGGAAGTCATTGGCTCTCCTCTTAAGCACTGTTATTTCCCAGTCACACTGTAAACACCAAGACCCTAATCCTGACCTTTGTTTTTTGCTTTTTGTACTGCAGGTATCTGTTTAACGAGCATATTAAATTGGGGCCTGACATAGTGAGCAACAGCTTCTACAAGGAGCAGTTTGACACAGTGGAGCAGTGTTTCAAAGTCATCGGATTCACCCTGGAGGTACAGACTGCTGCTTTTATTACTGGGCAAAAGCTGAAAGTGACCAGACATGTTATCATATTCCTGAAGTACATCTTTAGTGTATGAAAGTCGGTGTGTAATTAAAAGACAACATGTAAGCAAGGGTCAGTGATGCACTTCAAAAGGAGTGTCCAAACAGTTGCTCAGGTCTACTTTATGGCTTGTGATGAAAGCTGCAGGCACATGTATGCAGTCAGCTGTGTTCATTGTGAAGGCTGATGAGGCCCAGAGAACCGATTGCCTCTGGGATCTGCACGTCAATAGCACTTCTCTTGTAATTACTTGGCAGTCCTAAAGGAACCATCGCCTCTTCTACTGTATGTCTTATCATGCATGAAGCAGTTTTATCTGTTCTGACACATGAACTGCCACGTGAAAAGAGGAGTGTTTGCATGTGCAAACAGGTAAACGGAGGCTTTAATTTACTTAAATTGTTCAAATCTTTGGTGCTGAGCATTAACGTTGTGATGGTTTTAGCCTTTATTTTTGTTATGTAGGTTTGTCCATTTAGCTGTAGAGGCTAACGCTACTCGTGATAGCTAACCAGCTCTAGTGTCTTGTGGCTGGTAATGAAACATATCTTACTGTATATACGAAATTATATTTGGTTGGCCAATTGATGTTACAGTGCTTTAAGTAAAATTTTTAAAAAGTGCTTTACACCAGTAGCATTTATAGACAGTCATTTGAGATTACAAATGACAAATGTGAGACACTAATAATTAATTATAAAGTACTGTATCCCTGATAATGAGCATTTATGAACATGTGGGTGAAAGCTCTTATTCAGCAGCTTCCCATTGCATCAGACTTCATATTCTACCTCACATAGCTGTAAATATTAGCTTCATCTTATGCCAGGAAACAGACCTTGCCAGACACCCAGTGTTTGTACTCAGAAGTCAGTAAGGATAAAAATCCTATACAGCTATATCAGTGAATAAGACCATAAGATGTGCCTGATTGTACAGTGTTTGCTGTCAGTCCTCTACAGAATGTCCCTGTCTTTGATTTCTGCAGGAGCTGGGCAGTGTTTACAGCACTCTTGCAGCCATCCTCAACTCTGGTGACATTGAGTTCTCTCCGGTTGCTTCAGAGCACCAAACAGACAAGAGCCACATTTCCAACATATCAGTCCTAGAGAACGGTAAGATGAGAGAGAGAGAGGGGCATGGCTACACTTCATATATGATGATGTCAAACCAACCATGACTCTTACTTTCCTCTGCTACGTCCCCACTCCTCCCTCTCCTTCTTCTGCTCTGCTCCATTAACTCTAGAGAGAGCTCCAGGTGGAGTGGAGCTAAATATAGGAAACCATTGTTCTGAAATAAAGTGTCAATCAGACAGGCTGTTGCAGAATTACAGAAACTAGACATCCATTGGCAATGATTAGATTTTACCGCACACAGATTTCGTCAGGCACATACTAAATTTGAACATCTGTTCTGACTAGTAATTTACAAAGATGTCTGAATGAGGTTTATTAAATTGACGTAATGGATGAGCAAAGGAGCATCTCTGTAGTTGGTTCACTTATTTTCCTGTGAACCCACATCATCTCATTTCTGAGCCTGGTTCTCATTCAGATGGTTGCACATCCTTCATGTATGACTCTGCTCTCATTCCACTTTAGAAATGCTAACTCTCCTCCGATCCCTTATCTCATGTCCCTTCAGTGGCATCACTGCTGAATATTCGCTCAAATGAACTCCAGGAAGCCCTGACCTCCCACTGTGTTGTGGCCCGAGGAGAGACGATCATCAGGCCCAACACGGTGGAAAAGGCAGTGGAGGTGAGGGACGCCATGGGCAAGGCTCTTTATGGCCGCCTCTTCAGCTGGATTGTCAACCGTATCAACACGCTGCTGCGGCCTGACAGCCACCTAGGGTGAGATCAGGAGTGTGGTGTCGTGTGTTTGGCTGTAACGAATGCAGAATGAGGTCATCTCACAAAGTTTCTGGGTTTTTTTTTATTTTTTATGAAAAAATATGGACAATATTATTATCAGCTCTTGAAAGCTGTGCAGTCTGCCCAAGAATTAAAAAAAGATGGAAAACGAATGTGTTTGTGCTGATACACATCAGTATATACCCCATACAGTATAATGAAGGCAAAGATTCCCTCTCGAGTTTGTAAGACAAATCGGAGGGGTTTGAAGGATAATTAACTGGTTAAGAAAGCAGCTTTTAATTTTGTTCTTGTTAATTATTAAGTTTACCTCCTCAGGTATCTAAATATTTTTCAAATAATCAACCTGAGAGGTTAAAAACTACTATGCAACCTGTGACAGGAGGCCATAAATACATCGTCGTTTTCAGGGACCAGACACCAAAAAAGTTTTATTATGTTGAGGGAATTATAAGTTTAAATGTCGGAGCTCTTTAGTGACTGATTATCCACCCATACATTTGGAGTGTCTGGGATATTGCATAGCTGCTGTGGACAAAGGTTAAATGCAGTAAAAACCACACTTTTAAAAGGAGAATTAAATAAAAGATGTTGTTTTCTTCTTGTCCCCTCCAGAGATGAAGGCAAGGGCCTGAACATTGGCATCTTAGACATCTTTGGTTTTGAGAACTTCAAGAAAAACTCTTTTGAGCAGCTCTGCATCAACATTGCTAATGAGCAGATCCAGTTTTACTTCAACCAGCACATTTTTGCCTGGGAACAGGTAAAGTCCAGTCCAGACCAGCACACACCCTATAACCTATCTCTGAAATCAAATACCAATTTCTGAGGGCTTGAATCTCATCTTGTATGAATTTTTTCATCTTGGTGTTACCTCATTTCCATCTAAATGGTGATAACATGTCATCATTTGTCACTCTGTGCTTTAAGAGAAACGGTGTGGGTGAAATATGCTGCTGTCTTTATTTATGGGAGAATGAGGTTCCCTTTATGCAGTCTCCTGGGTGTGTTATGCCTTTGGGGCGGGGACAGAAAATGGTTTGCAAATGTTAAATGATTTGGTCTCACCCATGAAAAAGAGCTATAAATCAGCCTAAATGAGGGTCAATTAGGAGTTGGAGACATTTACCATTAAACTTAAACTCACTCTTGGGCATTGTTGGCACCAATCCCAGAAATGCATTTTTCCTAGGCTCCCACCATATATGCAGAGCATAAGGAAAATATACTGTGCTATGACATTAATAAGTATCACTAGCTTGTCACGTCTATAGTAGAAAAAGGAATATTTGAAGCAACATAACTGCAGCATTTTGTCACTAATTCATTTTGAACACACCTTTTCATTAAGTGGTTCAGTTTTTTCATTCTGTAATTGTATATGTCATAGATTAAAACTGAAAACACAAACTATGAAATAACATTGTAATTTCAGTGTTAAATTCATCATCCATTTGTGTACAGGATGAGTACCTGAATGAAGAGGTGGATGCTCGGATGATTGAGTATGAGGACAACCGGCCACTCCTGGACTTATTCCTACAGAAGCCCATGGGAATGCTCTCACTTCTGGATGAGGAGAGTCGTTTCCCACAGGGCACCGACCAGACCCTTGTAGGTCAGTCCTTTTAGCCTACTATTGGAGGAAACCTGTATTATTATAGATTTACTGTATACAGCCTTTATCTTCCCAGGAGTCTTTGACTAAATATGCAAACTTGTTCTCCTCCAACACCCTCAGTAACAGCTTCAGGGTTTTCTGCATATTTCTCATGGGAGAATTCACCCCGATTCATTCATATAGAATTCATAGCTCCCCTCTTATATGGCATCCCACAGGGGTCAAGTCTTGGACCCTTTTTATTCTCAATTTATATGCTTCTCTTAGGTCACATCATAGGTATGCACAACATAAATTTCCACGGTTGTGCTGATAACCAGATATATGTCCCACTCAAGAACGGGGATACCTCAGGGGTTTTGGCCTGCCTTGCTGACATATTATGTTGGATGTTCCAAAATTCTTTCTCCTCTAATCCATACTGAAAGTGTTTTCTATGCACGTCTCACACCTTGCTACAAAAGCGATTGTTCATTTGCCATGTGAACCCCAGGTCTGCTTATTCTGTCTCCTCTTTTAAATCCGATCCTAAAGCCTAACTCTGAATCTTATGCATGTTTGTGATTGTAGGCTATTTGTAAGTATGTTTGGGTACGTGCTTTGTGTATGTACACATTTGCTTGTTTTATATATACAGACTTCTGTTTTTATTATTATTTGAAGTCTTTTGTTTTTGTGAAGCAGTTTATAACCATGTTTTGAAAACCACTAGAGAAATACAGTTTTTTTTTATGTTTGTTTGTAGGTTGTTTGTTTTTTTTGTTTGTTTTTTTGTTTGTTTTTTTATTAACCCAGTTTTCTAAGATGGACAGCAAAATAGAAGCAAACTTTTTGTGCTCATTCATTTGGACTCACTCAGTATGAAGAAAATAAAATAGGCTAGAACCAGAAAGTGATTTACCATTTAAAGTAAACACCCAAGTATAATCCCTTATGTCTAGCAAAAAGAGATGGACAATATTATTCATGTTCACAGAACAGAGGTAATGAGTATCAAAACCAACATTCAGAATTGTTTGATTTTTTATGTAAGGTAATTTTCTGTCAGGGCAGGTATAATATCCTTAAGAGCTGTCCTGCTGCCTTGATAGCCTTGAGTGGCTGTGAAGATAATTAACTGAAGTGCAATTTGGTATTTCAGAGAAATTTGAAGATAATCTCAAGTCGAAAAGCTTCTGGAGACCAAAGAGGGTTGACCTTGGCTTTGGTATTCACCACTACGCTGGAAAGGTAATTACTGGCTCCAGGCAGTTCTACTAACTGATCATTGATTGTAAAAATTTGAGTTCCAAAGGTTTTATTTCAGACTGAATCCACTCCATGTGTTGGCTTTCACATGAGTATCTTTCCTCTGTACCAAACCCTAAGGTCATTTACAATGCTGCAGGCTTCTTAGCCAAGAACAGAGACACACTTCCAGCTGACATTGTCCTGCTGCTGAGGTCATCAGAGAATGAGCTTATTTGCAAACTAGTCACCCATCCCCTCACCAAAACAGGTAAAGAGGAGGCATGCTCTTAACAACATAAAGAAACGGGAAGACAAGAAGTGCAATAAGAGAGATGTTTGTTTGCTTTAACCTTTTAACTGAACAGCATATAAGCAGCACTGATTACATACCTAAAGTAAAGCAACAGGCTATTGTTACACTTCATAGACTGGCTTTCACCTCTCCTCTGCCAGATATTTGTTGTAATAAGCTGGTCTTGGCAGAGAGAACATCCTTTGTTGACAGAGCAGTCTGCATTGAGTCACAGTGCCAATAACCACATAATCAGTCTGTCAGAATAGTCCTAAAGTTTTCTGTCAGCGTGAACTTGTTTTCAGTGACCTAAAAATATAAAGCTCCTCTCTTTCAAATAATGATGTTTGGTTTCCGGAGTCAAGAATTTTACACAGACTTCAGCTTAAAATAACCTCAGTTATTTCTAATAACCTAAAAATATGCATACAGCCCTATTTCTCTAGATGATTCCTACATGTGACGAACTCTGCCCTGGTTGAGGGCAGTTTTCCAACTGACTCTCATCTTCACTTTGTTTATTTCACAGGCAACCTTGCCCACACCAAGGGTAAAGGCATAAACACAGAGCACAGCCCACAGACCCCGACACGCACCGTCACCCTCGCCAAGGTACTTACAGGACTGTCTGCATTATCTCCTCCATCAAGAAGTTCCCCTGAAATGTTGTTCAATTTATTTGTTTTTCACTCTCTTCACCATAGTCAGGAGCTGCTCTTGAATTAACATTCAGCCTCTCGTCTCTGCACTTTCTTCTTACCTTCCCACTGTTTTAACTTACTACAATTACAGTTTCTTATTTTTACCTTCTCTTCTTTTTTCTTCACCTCCCCCTGTCTCTGCATTTCTGCCATGAAAGATGGGAGTGCTAACCTTATACATGTACAGCTCTTTTTCATTCAGTGAGGTAATCAACATATTTCCTTGTAGTTTGTGTTTGAGTGTATGGGTCATTAAATCCTGAGTAGATGTCATATAGTCATGTACAGTTAATGCTGAGCAAAATATTTTGCTGTATACCGGAGGTGGGAGTAAGTCACGCATGTGCAAATTACATGTCTTAAATCTTAACCATCACGTCTCAAGCAAGACCCAAGTTACATATGTGCAAATCACACTCACTCCTGCGAGCAATTTAGAGTCGCCAGTCAACCTAAGCTGCATGTCTTTGGTTTGTGGGAGGACGCTGGAGTACCTGGAGAGAACCCACGCAGGCACAGAGAGGACATGTCCATTCAAACTCCATGGAGAAAGGCCCCGGGTCAGCTATCAGTAACTCTTCTCAGTAAAATGCATAATCGATTCAAAGCCGAGGCTAACAGCTTAAACTTAGTTAGCTTTCTAGTGAAGCACTTTTGAGTCATTTGTCTCAAATCTAAGTCATGAACACCAAAGTAAAAGTCAAGTTGAGCCTTTTTCCGATGTTAGTCAAGCAAGTCTCAAGAAAACACTATGACCTCTAAATGTAGGAGGTTATGTTGCGTTGATTCTCGTTCATATCCATCACTGTGGCGGATTTGTCTGTTAACATGGCTGGAACAGTGAGTTAGTTTTTCACAATTATTTTAAAATGCATTAAAACTTTAAAGGTGCATTCAAATTAGTCATTAATCAGCCTGAGTCCCTTTTAGCTGCCAGTGGCCAACTCAGGCCTTCTCTCTACAGCTTAATCATGTGACTTACTTTACTGAACTAGTTTAGATGGCAGAACAAGATTGCAGTGCCTGCTAAATGTAAGACTCAAGGCAATTTGCTCATATAAAAGCAAGTGACAGCAGCTACATTTAAATGAACTGTTTGATGAGATCATGAATCTATTTCCATTCATCTACATGTGTTAGGCAAAAAGCTCATCAAAGGTTTCCCTCTTAAGAAGCCTCAGCAAGCATTTGAAATGCTACAAACAGAATTAGGTTGATGACTAGCTATAAACGGGGTTTCCCAGAGGTGTAACAGTGCTGAGAATTAGCTCTTAACTGCTGGATGCAGTTGAATACTTTTGTATTATATTCATATTGATGTAGCAATGTGTTTTCTCAATTGTATGTCTGATTTTTAACACACAAAAGTTCAGACAAATTGTGTTTATGCGGACTGTACTCATGATTTGGCAGTTGTTTTATTGTTTATCCATTTTATGGGTCTCTTTTGCAGCCTTTTTTGGAATTAAAGCTCACGCCTGAAAAAATGCTTGCTTGATGTGCCTCTTTAACACAGTAGAAATGCAAATGGTGATTTTTCAAAGGAAGATAAAATCCTTTGATGAAAACCTCAGAACGCTGTAGAAATTGTAATGGAAATGTGCCATCCTTTAAGATTTTAAAAAAGTAAAGCATCTTCATTTTACTAACTTTAGTTCAGAAGAGCATGTTTTTGACTAGCTTAATGTTTGTTTGTCCAGCCAGGTGAACAAGGAGACGCATCTTACCATCCAAGAGAAACGACAAATATGAGAACACAGACAGTTTCCTCCTACTTCAGAGTAAGAATATGTTTTCCCAGATTATCATATCTCTGTGCAGGGGCTATTTATTTAGTTGTCCTTGACCAATCCTGCTACCTAATGGGTTTGACTTTGTTTTTTACATTCCTTCTAGTATTCTTTGATGGACCTGCTGTCCAAGATGGTGGCAGGGCAGCCTCACTTTGTGCGCTGCATCAAACCCAACAATGATCGCCAAGCCAGCAAGTTTGACAGAGAGAAGGTCCTGGTTCAGTTGCGGTACACTGGTGTTCTGGAGACTGCTAAGATCAGACGGCAGGGTTACTCTCACCGCATCCTGTTTGCTAACTTCATACAGAGGTCAGTAGGTAGATGATAATCAAATGACCATCAGTGTATGTGTGCTCTCCTTGTATTAGTGTCCAGGTGATTATACTGATTGTTACAGGTACTATATCTTGGCTTTTCATGCCCATGAGGAGCCAGCTGTGAGTCCTGAAACATGTGCTGCAATATTGGAGAAGGCCAGGCTGGAGAACTGGGTGATGGGGAAAACTAAGGTAGGCAGACAGATGTCATTTTAATGTCAGGCCCCATAACTTCTTACTGAAATGGTTTTAAAGTTGGAGTCCAATGATTTTTTTTTATTTCTTTACATAATTATGTGGGACTCATGAGATATATAAAAAAAAAAAAAAAGTCAAAATTGGGATCAGAATATTGTTTGTGGAGACAGCATTTCTTCTTAGTGGCTGGTTGGATCTGTGGCTACGTGTCAACAGACACCGAAAGCTGGGCTGCTCAGCAGAGACACTGGGAGGCAGCTGCTTGGCTAGTGCTCGAGGGCTTGCAGGGGAGTGATGTCTTCGTGGGCAGTGTCTCTTTCTAGGGGCTTCAGCCCTTGCATATACGTATATAAGGCTGTTTTCAGTTGCCTTTTTTTGCCACTTCTTAATTCACACCGATGATATAAGCAGTGGTTGCACTTAAAAAAAAATTACTTTACCCTTGCAACATTAATAAATGTGAAATGAATCCAAAACTGCTCAGCTGACCCTGCTGTACCTGATCCAGATTTTTCAAAGTTGAGGATAAATGTTAAATTGATTTTGATATGGTGATGAATAGAGGTTTTTATGTGTCCTGTCTCTCAGGTTTTCCTCAAGTACTACCATGTTGAACATCTGAATCTGATGGTACAGCAGGCCACACAGCGGCTCATTCTGCTCCAGGCTTACGTTCGAGGCTGGCTGGGAGCTAAGCGGTACCAACGGATATTAAGAGAGCGAGAACAGAGTGCTGTGGTGCTGCAGTCAGGTTGGTTACCTGTACACTCTCAGTGTCCCAGAGTCAGAGCAGTCATTCTAATTCATGCTTTAATCTCCAGCTTACAGAGGTCATAAAGTCCGGAAGCAAGTAGCTGAAGACAAAAACAAAAAGCTTGAGGTCTTCATCGTCCAGTTTCAAGCTGGTACGAACAAACTCCGGTGGAATCGGTTATCTAGCAGACGTTTAGTTTGTATAATATTGCATCATGTCTTGTCTTCTTCTTCAGTTTGCAGGGGATATCTTGTAAGAAAGAAATACAAGGAGGTGGTAGATGAGAAGAACAAAGCTGCAACCAAGATCCAGGCCCACTATAGAGGGCACAAAGAAAGGAAAAGCTTCAAAAGAAAACAGTACGAGAAAGTCAATATACACAGTATAGCTCCAAAATAAAGGTAAATTGTTCTTTTGACAAAGATTTATTTTGTTTCAAGGGAAGCCAACAAGAAGGAGAACGCAGAGCAGACTCTGAAAGAAGAGGAGAAGAGCACAGATAAAGAAAACACTTCAACTTCAGAAAGTGAAGTGAAGAGTGAAGAGGAGGAAACTAAGGCTGCTGTGGTTCTCCAAAGCAACTACAGGGGCTACAAAGAGAGAAAAAAGTTTAAAGAGAGAAAGAAGACAATGGCTGGGCCTGAACTAGAGTCACCACCAAACACGGTGGGTGAAGAGGAAGGTGGACAAGAGCCTACCAGCAATGAAGAAGAAAGAGAAAAGACAGAGCAAACAACAGGTGATAAACAAGGGAAGAATGAAGATGAAGAAAGTACTTGCATAGCAGAGGAGAACGATGACAGTGATCAAACACAGGTGCCAGAAGATGATGAACATAGAGAAGTACCAGATGGAGCAATGACTGAGGACACCCCGGTGGCAGATGCTGGAAATGAGGAGGAGGAGAATGCTGCACAGAAAGAGACTGACCACCTAGAGGAGGAAACCAAGGCAGCTACTGTTATCCAAAGTAATTTCAGAGGTCACAAAGAGAGGAAGAGGTTACAGGAAGAAGGCAAGATCCCAGCTAAGAAACAGAACAGAGAAAGCCCAACTGGTGATGAAGAAGTTCCCACCATGAGCAGTCCTACAGGGGAGGCAGAAGGACAAGAACCAACAGAAGAAATCAGCAGCAAAGAGACAGAACAAGAATCAGAAGAACCAGTTTCTACAAGTGATAGGAAGTCAGAAGATGTAGATGAGACTAAAGCAGCTGTGGTGATACAGAGTAACTTCCGTGGCCACAAGGAGCGCAAGCGACTCGAGGAGGAAGGGAAGCTCCCCAAGAAAATGAAGAAAGAAGAAGATGTCACATCAGAAACTCCAAAAGAAAAAGAAGAACAGGTGACACAGACAGAAGAATCAGCAAAGGATGTACCTGCTGAAAACCCAGAGGGACTGGATGAGGAAAAAGCTGCGACTGTGCTTCAAAGTAACTTTAGAGGCCAGAGGGACAGAAAGAAAGTGAAGGCAGAAAGAGAAGCACAACAGAAAGCAAAGGAAGGGTCTAATGATGCAGAAGAAGAAACTAAAGAGGAAGCAGAGGATGAGGCCCTGGATGTCATGGATGTTGAGTTAGAACGTAAAGAAGAGAATGCTGAAAAACGACTGGAAGAAGAACAAGCTGCAGTGAAGATCCAGAGTAACTTCAGAGGGTACAAGGACAGGAAGAACCTGAAGGCCAACAAGCAACAAACGACACAGGAAGAAGCGGAGCAGCTACAGAACTTCTCCGCAGAGGTAATATCCTTAAATGTATTATTTTTAACCAATCACCTCTCTATCTTGTCAATATTTCCACTCATACCGTATATTGTTTCTATATCTCTCCAACAGATCACAAAGTCTTCTGAGGACTTTGTTGCCCTGCAGCAGAAGTTGAATGAGATCATACAGGCCCATCAATCAAACCCAGACAACAATGGCATGTTTGTGAGAGGAAAAACAATCAACAGCTATATTCCCCAGAATCACTACTCATGTAAGATAAGCAAGATTGGCTCTGTGAAAAGCAGATTATAAAGCAATAAGTATAATGCATAATGTTGTCATGGATTAACCTGAGGTTAATGTGCACTTTTGGTTCTGTTTTCCTGGCAAATAAGGAAAGGAAAGGACGAGGCTAGCCCTGAGTGTGTTGGTGTACCTGTATTCATTCAGTACACTACACTCGCATCACCAAATTATATAATAATTTCACATGGCAAACCAATGTAATTAGTCGACATATAGGGAAATGAGCTGGCTGACTAGTAAATGCAATTCTATCCATGCAGTTCTTTATGTTTACACTAAACATCAGTAACGAAAATAATCACAATGCTGTTTTCCAACTTGCGCCTGATAATTAAATGTATTTTTTTACTCATGATGAAGCAGTAGCATCCTCTTATGTGTACTGTGTACATATGGAGGATAGATAGATATGGTAGGTTAACTTAGCATTGACAGGTCGATCCATTAGTTTTGTGTCACGTCGTGGTAGCAGGCAGTGTTTTCCAGTAAAAATAAAATACCTCCAGTGCTTTGACCCCCTGGCAATGCAACCCTCTCTGCTGCCTGTGCCATGGGCTGGCCCTGGAAAAGGATCATGTCTGTCCTTATTTATTATCTCAGAGTTAAAGATGTGTGTGTCTGCCAGCAATTTCCATTCTTGACATGACAAAAGACAGGGATAGGTTGTTTTTTTGTTGTTGTTTTTTTTACCATCTCCTCACAGAAGAGTGTGATATTATCAGTGGACAGCGTTCTTTTTTCTCTCTCGTGTGATTTGATTAGATCAGGAAACCTGGGAAAATCAAGTGCCAAAACAGGAAATGCTTCTCTACCCTTGTGTCATCAGAAATAAAATTTGATTTGCACAAATGATAAGTGTAATTGCTTTTGGGTTGGCATGCAGGGGGGAGCACAAATTGAAAGTTCAACATCTTTGCAAAATTGAGCTGGCAGCTGAAATGTCACCATCGTCATAGGTCCAGGTGTGCAAGGAAGAATGTAATAATTACATAATGAGATCAATGATTGCCTTTTCTTGGATGGCATTATGATTATTCTGCCATTCACTAGATCTTCCAGTGAG